ACAGTTACAAACTGAAACAGGAAGTGCTTCTGGACCAGTGTTGTTTACATCTTGTGAAATGGTCTATATGGTCAGATGAGCATGTCAACCACAAAATTGACACAGCAATATGATGATTCAGGCAGGAGTGTTTCTGGAAGAAAATGTCATGTTTCAGCCTTATCACTGTATATTAAAGGTATTGCTTTTGCTGCCATGAGGAGTTTAAGTTTAAAAATGTCTAAAAATTACTGTTTAATTATTATTATTATTATTATTGCTTGCTATTTTGAAGTTCTAACCACTAAGAACTGTATGCAATACTACAGAAATAATTAATTTCTGTCTCTTTACGCTGACATTTTCAAGCTGATCTAACAGAAACAGTAGGTGAGTTGGATTAATGTTAATTTTTATTTATTTATTTTTTAGCTGAATAGGCCCAAAAACAATTTTTGCTTGCTTCCTAGTATGCACTGGGGCATACAAATTTAATATGGTTTCTGTTTTGGGTATTTGACAATTTAATTTACAATAAGGTTTTTTACACTATGTTCAAATGGTTGGCATAAGATTTTTGGAATGTGAAATTGTTATTCAGAAAGGATGCATTAAATTGATCAAAATACATTATAATGTATAAGATATCTATTTCAAATAATTTCAATTAAATTATGTAATTTTGAACTTTCTATTCACAAACAAGAAAAGAAAAAGTATCATGGTTTCCACAGAAATATGAAGCAGCACAACTGTTTTCAACATTGGTAATAATCAGAAATCTTTCTTGACCACCATCAACATATTACAATGATTACTGGATCATGTGACACTGAAGACTGGAGTAATGATGCTGAAAATTCAGCTTCGTCATCGCAGGAATAAATTACATTTTTTAAATATTAAAATAGATTATTATATTTGTAATAATATTGTTATATAATATTCATATGTAGCAATATTAGTGTTTAACTGTATTTTTGAATAAATGCAACAATGGTGATCATAAGAGACTTTTAAAAAACATAACAAAATATTAACAACCCTAAATTTTTCATCAGTAATGTTTGTCTCATGAGTGTTTATGTGATAATGTAATTTATTTAACATTCATTTAGGACAAGGACTTTAATAAATAGACTGTCGCATTTTTTAAGAAATGGTTCTTTACTTTGATGTTTCCATGAACAACCTTCAAAATCCATGAAAACTGTCTTTCACACAAAAATCTCTTTACAGTCAAAAAAAATTTCTTTGAAGAATAAATTAATGGTTATGTTAATAAATTTTCACTTAAAGGTTATTTGGGGAATCAAAAATGGTTCTTATGGCAGTGTTGTAGAAACCAGCTTTTGGAACCTTAATTTTTTAGTGTTATTATTATTATTATTATTATTGTTTTGTTTGTTTTAGTTGAGATTTTAACTCTTTAAGTTTAATTCATAAATTTAATAAAAGCAAGTGCACAAAGTGCTCACTCCCGAGAAACGCAGGTGGGACGAGGAGCTGACGCCTGCTGCTACTGTTTTCAATAGGACCAAACACGATTCCCTGTTTCTCCCTGCAGTGATTCTGTTCTGTCCTGTCTGTCAGTGCAGATATTATGCTAAGCCCTCCAAACTATCCTTTATATATATGGTTGCCATAGCAGCATTATTCCTGGGGAGTAGCAACTTCAAATGATTATAGAGGCTTTTGGGGTTTGAACCTCAAAAAATGTATGTGTGTCTGAAAAGAAGGGGTAGAGAAAGAAAAAAAATGAAGGTCATGATGGAAAACTTTTTTATTTATGTAAATTTGCCACATCTGTGTCAGAACTATAGTGTCAGATTATAGTTATACCACATTCACGCCATAATTTTTCGGTTTGGATAACCAAACCACTTCAAATTTCAGATAGAAATCTTCTCTATCCTCTTTTAAATGACCAGTCTCATGCCAATGTTTAGCCAAATAGGGGTTTTATTTATTTATTTATTTGTTCCAGGGGGTTTTATACCAGTCTGATACCAAGAGCAAACCAGAAGTGCCAGATTCATCACAGACACCAGCAATAATGAATCAGCTGAGGGAAAGGTTTGTTTGTTTTTACACAAGTCTGTAGCTGATTGAGCTGTTTTGTTTTCTGTCACTTATTTGATTTGCCCACGGATTGTGTTCTACTTCAACATCTTCTGAAACTCAGTTAGCAAGGAAACTGAGAGAGAGAGAGAGAAAGAGAGAGAGAGAGAGCGAGCGAAAGAGAGAGAGTGAAAGAGAGAGAGGTGTGTGTGTGTGTGTGTGTGTGTGTGTGTGTGTGAGAGAGAGAGAGAGAGAGAGAGAGAGAGAGAGAGAGAGAGAGAGAGAGAGAGAGAGAGAGAGAGAGAGAGAGAGATCTGGTTTGCTGGTTGACCGTGCAGAAACATTAAACAGCATATGGGTGACTCAGCTCATTAGTGCATCTCTGTGTTGGATAAATGGACTAGTCCACTGAATGATGAGCTCATTTACTCTCTCTCACACACACACACACACACACACACACACACACACACACACACACACACACACACACACACACACACACACACACACACACACACACACACACACACACACACACACACACACACAGTGATAGTCAGAGACACGAACAGATCCGGGTATCAATACTGTGACCCAAATGATAGCCTTTGTGAATAACTTAAACGATTCTAAATTGAATATGTAATTGTTTAAAACTTGTGACCAGCCAGCACCTTCATTGATGTGGAAAATAACGACGACTTGTTCCAAAAGTCCTTTGGTAAATGTCGTCGTGTAAAATTTAATTAAACAAAATTAATAGAACTGAGGATGTTTAAATGCTCACAGACCATTCGCGTTACTCTATTATTTTACTTTTTTCATTTATCACAATATTGAGTAGGCTAAATCTCATCAACAATGGGTAAAATATTCTAAATGTGGCTTAATATGTATTATCTAATATACAATAAATCACATCTCTGAAATAATTTAGATTACATAAACAGATTTTTGTGGCGTGAAGTGTGAGTGGCGGTGTTACAGTAATTTTGCTTTACGCAGAATCTATTCAATCATAAACGTCTTTTTTCATGAGATTGTTTTTTTTAACAACAAATTGACATTATTTAAATGATCTAAATTTTAAAAGGATTATGAAACAAGACAAGATTTTGTTTTCATTTCACTGCAGCTTTTATTTATTTTTATTTTTGTAATAATCTGCTTTTAATTTTAATGTAATGAAAAGAAACGTGTTTTAAAACGAAACTGCTGCTTTAAGACAGACCGGTGTCACGCTGAAAAAAAAATTGTGAAATTAAACCAAATTGTCAAAATACCTTGTGCAAGATGTTCAAAACGTTCACAGAAACACAAGGCAATGGGTGAAGACGTGCTCAGGGTAATTGGTTTAATGAATCTATTTCGAATTCATTTACAGGTCAGTTGTTGAGACCATTTTTTGGCTGACATTTAAACTTCACCTTATTCGCTTGCATATTGAGAAACATGACAAGAAATAGGCTGCGTTTCTCTTAACCATTTTCCTTTTCTTGTAATAAAACTCAAGTCTAGAAAATGATACAAGCAAAATAAACCATTTTCAAATTCTGAATGTCTTTATTATTATTATACACACTGTATCATGTGAGCCTATATTGTGATTGACTAGTGGAGTGAATGTTTTTAAAATATGGATGAAGTTGTTCTGTGCTCTCCAGAAAAAGTGAAAAGGGTCAGTTGTTCCATTTTAACCTCTTGACACTGTTGATTTTATACTCATAGCATAGAGGAGCAATTAATCCACAATGGAGAGACTTCCCATCTTACCGCCGTTGTCAGGACAACCCGAGCGGTATCCATCCCCATAATAAGTTTCAGTTCAAAGCCGGTGACTTACCTCTTTACAACACTCTCATGTCCACCCTCTTCCTTCTCTTTGACTGCTCATTCTGAGACTTAAGGCTTGAGCCCTTGTCCAAATAAGCTAGAGACAAAAGTGTTAGTTTTCGGGGAAGCTGGAAAGAAGGAGTGTGTGTGTGCTTTTTGACTAGAATCTGTCAGAGATGATGCGAATGCAACACGCTGAGGTCGATTGTTGATCTCATAAATTTTTGTAGTTTTAAACATCAAAAATCAAATGTCATAATACATCAAGTTATCACTGTGTCGGATTCGAATGAATAAAAATAATTAAAATATAACACGTAATTTGTATCGTAATATATTTATTCGTTGAAAAAAAAAAATGTAGGCTACATTGTGGAAAATACTAATTAACTTAAACTGCACACCACTCTGGAGACTATAAAATGGTTGAGGCGTTTTCATTGGATGATTTAAAAATAAAATGATAACCATTTCAATCAGGCAGAATCTATCGTTTTATGCAGTTGTGCATTTTGGTGATAACACCGATCAAAATACAAAAACGAGGATGAGGCAACTGTCGACATGGCGCTGTTCTCCATAACGCAATGGCGCGCACTCCAAAAACATGCACCCATGACATAAACATTAAAACTACATTAACTGATGAGCTGTAAATTAGATAGCCAGTTTAAAATAAAAGGTTGAGAATGCTCTCACGAATTAAACTTAAACTCGGGAAAATATCATTGCTCGCCTGTTACGCGAGTGAATTATGAAACTGATTAGTTTAAGATTTTTGACAGAAGTCAATAAGAGAGATCTGAAAATATATGTTGTAACTCACCAAATATGTTTAACAGAGTTACTGAATTCAAACCAAGTGCTGATATAAAATAGTACTGCTCTTTTGTATTTCATTGATGTTCCCCCTCTCATCAAGCGCAGACACTTCTCTCGTAAACGCATAAAACTGGGCGGAGCACCAAGAACCGTCAGCCCTGATTACTCACGGTGAGTAAACGTGTGATTGGTCGAGTGAACAGAATTTGGGAGTTACACAGACCAATGAGATTCTTAAATTTGGGAAACGGGGTTACTGTTGTGAGGGGGCGTGGGGTGCCCTGGAGAGACCCCAGAGATAAGCGCAGTAGTCAGGAGCGCAAAAACACTCAGTAGGATACAGGACGCAGACAGAACCCGAGCAACCGCTACTAGTTCCACTTTGGCGCACTGATTGTACCGATGTACACATTTTGTCAAATTTTAGAGCTTTTCCATCGTATCAAAATGATCAAAATTGATTTCACTCTAACTTCATCACAAGGAATGAGTTTTAATTAACCGTATTACGGGCAAGTAACAGACACACAGCTTGTTCATAACTGTTCTTTTTTTAAACGCGGGTGTAATCCCTTTACGCATCTTTAATACAAAATCGTGGTGATGCTACTGGACACCGGCCACCAGATCTCTGGTTTAGGAGTTGGCACGTTCACAAGGCATCACTCGGCTGTGAGCGAGACGCAGGACAGAGATATGAGTTTTATGGAATCTGCTCACATGGGCCCGTTCAAACTCAACCACCCCGAATTGTCCTCGAGCCAGAGCGCAGCTTTTGCGCCCCAAGCTACCAGCTATTCCGCGGCCGCTCTAGGAGTGCACGCGGCGGCGCACGCAGCCTCGTACGCCAGCTCCACTTTTAACTCCACCAGGGAGTTCCTCTTGCGCAGCCGAGGCTTTGGGGATTCGACTCCGGGTAGCGGACAACACTCCATTTTCAGCTCCACAGCAGGGCCTCTCCATCACGCTCACCCAGAAGGTCAGGGTCATCTACTTTTCCCCGGAATTCATGAGCAGCACGGGTCCCATCACGGCTCTCCAAACATCCTCAACGGACGCCTTGGATTACCCGGTGAGGTTTACGGGCGAACGGAGCAGTACCACCAAGTGCCCAATGCGCGGGCCGATCCTTACAGTCAGTATGGCCTAAATATGAGTATGAACATGGCGCACCATCCCGGCGCTTTCTTCCGCTACATGCGACAACAGTGCATCAAACAAGAGCTCATTTGTAAATGGATCGACCCGGAGCAGCTTGGTGACCCCAAAAAATGCTGCAGTAAAACCTATAGCACTATGCACGAGCTGGTAACGCATGTGTCCACGGAGCATGTTGGTGGTCCCGAACAGTGTAACCACATCTGCTTTTGGGATGACTGTCCACGGGAGAGCAAGCCCTTCAAGGCAAAATACAAACTGGTGAATCACATTCGAGTGCACACGGGAGAGAAACCCTTCGCGTGCCCATTCCCGGGATGTGGCAAGGTGTTCGCGCGTTCAGAGAATTTGAAAATACACAAACGGACACACACAGGTGATTATTTATTAAAGTTATTTAAAATATTACTTGAAATGTTTACATTTCGTTTCAATTGACATTTCAGTTGGTTTTATTGCTGATATAATCTAGGCTACTATTATAGCCTAAATGACATTCAGTGATACCAAAAACAATACTTTGTCTGTGAAGGCTATGTTTCGCATCCTAGAGCAGCTGCTATGCAAGTTAGACATCAGAAATCCTGGAGTGTTATTTTATCAGTTATGTCTGTTGCTTTAAAGCCTAAGTATGAATTGCTGTTCTGTTTGAATGCGTGATTTCGTATGAGGTCCATCACCCCTTTGCAGCATCAAAGTCAGCCTTCTTTTTCAGAGAGTCGTTGTAGAAATAGCGATTCTGCGTGCTAGTTTTAACCAGGGTGCTAAAACGTTTCTATATAAATGTCTTACAGGGGAAAAACCGTTCCAGTGTGAATTCGACGGCTGCGACAGACGTTTCGCCAACAGCAGTGACCGGAAGAAGCACATGCACGTTCACACGTCTGACAAGCCATATCTGTGCAAACTGTGCGACAAGTCGTACACACATCCCAGCTCTTTAAGGAAACACATGAAGGTGAGAATTTAATCCGTCTGACAGTTATTCTCCGTTCACAAATGAATTGCCTTAGCCTACGGACTCAGGCTACTCAGAGTTGAGACAAAATTAACTAACGTTAACTGTTCAATGTTGTTTTTTTTTTTTTTTTTTAGGTTCATGAGGACCAAGGTCCGGTGGTCGACTCCTCTCCTACTGGAAGCTCCGGGTACGAGTCCTCTACTCCGTCCAGTTTGATCTCTCCATGCTCGGAAACGCACAGCACCATGTCGCCCGACTCAGCTGCGCTCAACAGCAGCGGGCACAGCAACTTAACGTCGAATTTTAGCGAGTGGTACGTTTAAGGACCAAAACGACATGTAAATAGTATCCTAAATGAGGGTTTTTGTTCTCAGCATGTCTAAGATTCAGTGTTGCACTGTGACTGAAGTAAGCCGACCAGTTTGTGACTAAAATGAAGGATGTTTTTTATAGGCCTACGAAGAATAAAATGTAGCCTACTTTGGTAATTGGTTTGCAAAAGACGAAGGATGGGTGTATTTTTTTACTGTAAGGTCAATTGTTTTACAGTAAGGTCGTGTGAAGTTACCATGTTTGTACAGGCTACAATATCCCTGTCATGTAGATTAGAGCTATTCGACGTTGATTGTTGCCAAGTATTGGGGATCTTAAGTGCCGAGGTCAAATGTAGTGCGTTAAATATGGATACAATTTGTGAATGTATTTTATTGTAAGAAATTATTTCCATATGTAATATGTTACAGATGTCTGGAAATCATTCACTTTCGAGTTAGAGTAATTTTGAGAAAAGCCTCTTGTTCTTAAATTATGGTTATACTTGATAAAATGTACTACAAAATATTTATGGAAAGCTCCTCGATTAAAATGTGTACAGAATTGTTACCTTTAAAGTGTTTGTACATTGTTATTTAGTTTTAAGATGTAAATTCTTGTGATAACAAATGACAAGGAAAATATATGAAGTCAATAAAATGAAACCAAAAATAAAACAAGTCTCGTTATTTTTATACAATTTTAAGAACGCGTTTAATTCATAATGACATAAAGGGGTTTTTATTTTGTGTGTGTGTGTTTTTTTTTTTTTTTTTTTTTTTTTTTTTACATTTTTCACATATAAGTCATCACGGGCACAAGACGGTCTGAACGTTTTCTCGTAAATTAAAACTTATTTGTTCAAATAACTTAATTGCTAATTATTATTTTGTATTATTTTTTAAATTACTTGGCCATTTAAACCAAGATAATAAAACGTTTCGGTGAGCTAGCCTACAGGAACTTTAGAAGTCCTTTAGTGTCCCGAAGAAGACTATCTGAATAAACATACACTGAAATGTAAAGATGGTGTAATTCGATGACTCTGGACCATTATAAAATGTAGAAAATCAAACTCAGATTTATTTATTTATTTATTATTTAGGGGATAAACTAACGACAGTTTCTTTTTATGGGGACACATTAACTACAGTTTCAAATTTGTGATTCTAATTTATGGGCACATTATTAGACAGCTTATGAACTTTTGTCCATTTAAAAGCCTATCAGTTAATAAATTATCAAAGAACTATAGGCTATTAAACATTGTGTATGAATTGTACTTACTTCCTCACAAACGCATAATTGTACATTTTTCGTTTTCAGATGCCTAAGGCTATTTTGTTTACTTTTTAAAAGTAGGCCTGTATTTTTGATAGTTAACTTTCACTGTCACTGAATCATTCTTTTTTTTATGCAGATTTTTTTTTTAATTTTTGAAAAAAAGATGCTGAAATAGGGTGGACAAAGTGATTACATAATGAATATATAATGTAATGAATATAATGAATATAATGAATATGATTACATAATCTGGTTTTCTATCTCTATACAACCAGTTGCATTATTACATTAGTTTGAACTGGAATTAGATGGGAACCAATAGGCTATGTAAAACATTACCAAAATACAATTCTTCAACTTTAAACAAACATTACATTCCCAATCAGTATGTACAGTGTCCCCTCTGTTAGGTCTTCTATCAGGATGGACACTAACAGAGTGGACATTCTTACCTAAAATTAGCCACTGCACCATATACAAAATAAGCTATAGACTACATACGGTTTATCTAAAAAAAAAAATTGATGGGTTATAAAATCGTAATTTTGAAAAACTTTTTTTTTTTTTTTTTTTCATTTTTCCCAGGGTGGACATATGCTATAAGGTTCGCCAAAGATAACTGGGTAAAAATAGAAAATTGTACACTCTAAAAAATGCTGGGTTGTTTTAACCCAATTTTGGGTCAAATATGGACAAACAATATTGAAACGAATGTAGGCTAGCTGTAGTTTTTTTTTTTTTTTTTTTTTTTTTTTTTTAATAAAAAATCACCTAACCTAGGCTATTGCAAGTGTTGCAATATCAAGACATGGAATATACACTGAGATCATATGAAAAATGGTGATATATGGTGATCCGAAATGGAAATGCTGTAAAATGTCTCAAATTATATTTAATAAATCACTTCCAATATGTTTAGAATTCAAATTGTGCTATTTATGACTAAAATGTGTAGGCCTACAATTTACATTGTTCAACATTTTGGGGCAATAAGTTCGTGATCTTAGCTGGGGACACAAGGCACCGAATCAGGAATGACTCGTATGCAGGCAGTGGACGTGGAAATTGTGGGAGGGCAACAATTTTCTCTTAATGGGCTAGTTTTCTATGTAGCTATAGGCTAATTTTTGTCGCAATAGTAGGTACAAAACAAGGAAATAATTAATAAGGATAATTGTAGCAACCTGTTGGATAATTTTATCTGCTGAGTAAAAATTGACACAAACAATCCAACCTACAGCAAAAAATCCTAAAAAGACTTTAATAATTGACATGCATATTTGAATTAAATAATAACAAACTTTATTAATGCAGTCATACATTAGCAAATCGTGCTGATACAATATAATATATTTAGATTAGCCTCCAAGGTCACGGTTTTCATCAACAACCTGTCGGCTCAACCCCTCCTCGGAACACATTGCGGTTTCTGACACATCCGAGAACATCTGATTGGTGGAGAGGGCAAACACCCCCTGTCTGTGACGTCTAGATTGCGCGCCGCTCTGCTCTCAGCAGCTCTGGCTATCATGGCGGCTTACAGAAGCGCTGTAGGCTTTCAAAGAGTTTTGAATGCTGTTAAGGTGAGCGTTTGTTATCTAAAATCGCTGTGTGTATAAAACAATTCAACGAATCTTATCATTTGTCTGATTTATGTGTAGTAAAGCATTGCATCGTTATCTGAATAAGAGCTCATGCTTGAGATCAGCAAGAAAGTTCACTTGACTTGTCACCATACACGGACAGTTTCATTGATTGGAAACTGAAAAGATTTATTTATGAAACATCACTTTCTCCTTATAATAATAATATGGTGTGCACTTTATTGTTGTTTTTGCGGAAAGAAACAACCAAACGTCTTTATCACTGATGACTGAACTCATGCCAATGTCAAAATGATGTGCCTAATGTTTATGGAAACTCTGGACATTTAAACACGCCTGTGCAACAGACATGTAATGCATATTTTACTAAAATATTTTTTTTTTCTTGGGATTGACGCTCACAACTAATGATTACTTTGAAAGAAGCTTATGTTGCATAGATTTCCACTTTAATCAATGACAGTCAAGTTAGAATATGAATCTCTTTGCTTTGGGCTGTTTCAAATTGTGAACCTTGTTTCTCTCACTGTGAGCCATCTTCTAGTTGTAGGAAGTTTATAAATTTCATTCAGACAGAATTATAAATAATATTTAAACAATTTAGGGTTAAATGACTAAAATGACTTAGTGCTGTTTGTGGGCTGAAAGTATGCTGTATTATATCAAATTAAATTAAATTCACTTATATTAACTTATATTTTAACAGAAAATGCTAAAATAAAATTCAATTGTATAATGACATGACAAATCAAAGGTTTGAGCATTGGGTTTGGGCAACTCTTGAATAAATGATTCCATTCATTGCTGACAGCACTTTAATCAATGACACTTTAATCTCTGTCTTTTAGCATGTCTGTCTTAAGCAGAGGTGTGGTGTTATCATCTGCCGATACTCTACGGTGAATGACCCAAACGAGAAGGTAAGTCAGATAAAATAAGAGTTTTGTATTAATGGTTGCTTCTCATTTCTTTAATTGTGCATCCTTGTTTCCTTTCCTCCGTCCTTGCGTGTGCACACTGTGCTGTTTTCTCTCTCACAACCTATACAATTGTTGCTTGTCAGACTGTACTGATTGCCAGTCAAACACCGAAGGTGCACGAGTCACGTCAGTCTTTTGTCAATTGATTTGTTGTTGATGACATGATGGAGGCAAGGGGGGAACTATAACTATATATACAGTATAGTAGCAGTGATCTAAGCTGGTCCATGTAAAGCCTGCTCTTCCTCGAGAGCAAGTTGACTATGCATCTGTAACCTAGTTATTCACATGTATGGATATTTATATCTGTAATACACTTTAGAACAACATTTGGTTAGACTTTAACGGAAGGTGTCTATGTTACAGTTTAATTCCACATTTAAGTAGTGAGTAATATAAATAAAGTACATGTACTTATAGGGTGAAGGTTAGGATATGGTTTAGGGTTAGCATGTCATTATGCATAATTTATATTTCTCTTACGAGAGGTTCTCTCGTATTGCGTAAGCTAGCTTACACTACGGGAAATATTCATCTTTTCTGAGAAGTTGAAGCCAAAAAATTATTCCATTTTTTGTATCCATTGTCAATGCAGTTCCTTTGCAGCAGACCATGAGCGGGCTAGCTAGCAGCTCATTGGTTCACTCACAGAGAACTGCTTAAGCCTATGGGAGAGCAGGGCTGAGCCCACGACCAATGAGAAGCAGGCACGCTCTCATTGCGTCAGAGCCCACCAGAATGGGCGTGGCTAGAGAGTATAAAAGGAGCTCTTGTAGGCTTATAAGTTGATTATTTCATCCTTCAGCGAGCTATACGCTTCCGCTGTGTTGAGAAGAAGCCGCCGCCGTCGAGAAGACACCTTCTAGCGAGCTACCGGAGACTAAAGAAGCCGGCCATCTGCCACCTTCAGCCGCCCTGCGAGCTAGCGTCATCTGACGACGTGTATCCTTTTCACTCTACCACTAAAAGAGCACGAGCGTCTTTTTAAAGATGTCTCGTAATTTCTGCGGTTCATGCCGCGCTCCTCTCGAGGACGGAGATCGCCGTGTCACCTACGCCCTCTGCCTCGGATTGGAGCACACAGTGCTCGCCCTCGCTGTCGGAGGATGCGACCTCTGCGAGGACCTGCCATTGTCTTCCCTGCGGGCACAACTTCAGGCCGTCAAAACCGCTTTGACGCCGCCTCTCACTTCGCCGTGGAAAAAGAAACGCCACTCCCAGAGGCCGCCGGAGCCCCCTGCGGATCCAAGCGGGACGCCACCGCTCCCCGCTCTCCCTCCCCGCCCCAGCCGGACATGCAGTTGCCGCCGAGTGGCAGAAGGATTCCTGTTCACTGCTCGCTTCCAAAAGTGAAGAATGGTCCTCTCTCGGTTCTTCTGCGAGAGAGTCTGCGGGGACCCGCGCCGGAATCGAGGAGGATCTCATGCGCCTCCTCTCTCAAGCCGTCGAACACCTCGGCCTCGAGTGGTCGCCGCCACCCGAGCAGGCCCCGAACCGGATGGACGGCAGCTATTTTCATCGGGGCTCTGCTCCCGCTTGTAACCGGGCCGCCCCATTCCTGCCTGAACTTTATGCTGAGCTCCCGAAATGCTGGAATGCCCAGCTCTCGGCCAGAAACCGCTCCGACTGAGCTGCCGAGAAGGGATATACAGCCATGCCGCCCGTCGAGGACTTGGTTGCTGCACACCTCTGCCCGCCCTCTGCCAGATGGCGTTCTTCTCCAGCGCTTCCGTCTAAAGCCCACAGAGCGACCTCGAACTTTCATGCTCGCCCCTATGCCGCCGCCGGTCAGGCCGC